GTGTGTGTGTGTGTGTGTGTGTGTGTGTGTGTGTGTGTGTGTGTGTGCAGAGCCGGACTTTGTGGGTTCGGCGCTGGTGAGGGAGAGCAGCGGCAGCAAAGACGGCGACGACGACAAGATCTACTTCTTCTTCAGCGAGCGGGCGCTGGAGCTGGACTGCGACACCGAGCTCACGGTGGCCAGAGTGGCCCGCGTCTGCAAGGTAACACTAATCACATCCGATCCCGGAGCAGATTCAATTAGCTCCCTCCTCCATCTGCTTCAGCCCCTGTGAGGCGTCGGCGTTGGAGTTTTAAAATGACGAGAGCAGAGATTCAAACAATAATCAGTGTGCGAGCTTCCATAAATGCACAGGGAGGACTTGACTGTGAAATCATGGTTTCATGCACACTTGGCAGGGAATCAGCTTTTTTCTTTTCTTTTTTTTTGTACTCTCTCCAGCTGTTTTGGCAGCTGTTTCTGAGAACTTAACAATGTGACAGCGCTTGCTCACAGTTTTAGTCCTTTACCTGCTATTTCTGGTAGAGCCAGTGAATAGAATAATGCTCTGCCTGCATTCTTTCTTTTTTTTTTTTACTTATTAAGGTTGTAGTTGGCTTCATGTTTTGAGGCTACTAATGTGGCTGAACCTAGACCCAGACTGAATTGCCACTATAGGCTTCTGTAACAGGCTCTGTCTGTGATGGGTGCAGAACCTTTACAGCACCCCTCTTATTCCGATCCCCTCTATTGAACAGAGTGGATCTGGACTCATCAGACAACCTGACCTCACTCCATCACTCCACTCTTTATTCTGCCCGGCAAATTAAAGCCATTTTTATTGAATCAGCCTCAATTTTGAGTGGTTTGAAGAACGCTACTCAGACATTAGTACAAGTACTTCTCTTTGGATTTGGTGTCCTTCACTGTTAAACTTTGCTTTAATTTCCCCTAAAATTTTCTTGTAACCACATTTTCCCCCCAAAGGTGATACCTCATCAGTATTCTTCAAGGTTTGAACAGTTAATTTAACGGTTCTTTCACACAGTTTGGGTACTGTCAGCCTTTTCCATAGTTTTTAATAATCTGACCCTTTGAGACCCGCTTTGGTTGCTTGAGGGAGGGGTGGCCAGCTCCGGTCCTCGAGGCCACTCTCCTGCAGGTGTTTTCATGTTTTCCTTCCCTGACACGCCATGAAAAACTCCTCACCGTGTCAACCGCAATCAAAATCGCATCATCAGCTGAAACGGGTTTATTAAGCTGAAGTTTTCCGGTGGGAGCCTGCTCTGTTTGCTCTGTGAAATCCAGCTAGTGGCAAGAGAAGGGCCTCTATGCACACATATAGTGGTGCATTATACTGAGCCCAATGAAGCACAGAAAAAGAACTCACAGATTTGTTGCAAAGCGCCATTCTGGACGTGAAACTCAATTCTGGAAAGATCAGTCATGCTCGGCCGTGTCATTATTACCTCCTAATGATCCTTCCAGTCTCATTGCTCCTCTGTAGGCTGATTATTCCTCACATTAGGTCGTCACTGAACTCCCATCAAACCGTCGTAAAAAACTGCCACTATCTGGAAAGCTCCCCACATCTTGTGGAGCCACGTGGCACACCTTAGAAAACTCACACCGGAAGAAAGGGCAAAGGAATGCGTGGCTCCTCTGGGATTTAGTCCGACCCCCAGCAGAAAAAAATCAACACAAATTCAGCTTTCCGCCAGTTCACTTACTTTTGCTTTCGTCGGGGACAATTACAATCTGGGTAATTAATTATTCACTCGCCTAATTAACGGCCTCATTTGGATAACTGATTGGGTTCGACACACCACGGCCATTACGGCCGGGCGTCAGAAATTCCTTTTGTCGTGAGGGGGATTACTCGGTGAGGGTTAAGGCAGCCGGGCCTTCCTTCGCACGACAACAGTTGGGTGTCGGGTCACATTTCCCCTCTCAGCCTTATAATCTCAGTGGCCCGTAGAGCCAGCCCAGTCGCCACGCTGGAAACCCACTTGAGATGCCTGCAATTTAGAGTTGGCATTATGCATGCGCTGCTTTAATTGGCATATAAGAAGCGTGTGGTGATAATCAGTGCAGCTCTTTGACTGATATCAGAAGCAGATGCTCGCACACGATGTGTACCACAGCGGTGAATAATTTAGCACGTGTTGCTATCGGAGCCGCCCGCCCTGCGCCAGCGGTGCCGGTGTCTGCTGCTTTTTCACAGCTCCCGCTCTCACCGAGTCCAACAGTCTGTCACGTCACTTGATGTTTCTATTTTCATGCTTAAACTCAAACTTTTTGTCTGTCTGGACGCATCTAAAAGGTGTCGTTGAGCACGTCGGCTAACCGTGTTGATCCTGTGATCCCTTTCTTCTACTGGATCTGGAAACAATGGGCCATTTTGGTTCCCAAAAGTGACCCATGTGTACGCAGTGGTCTGAGGACTGGCCGTCAAGCTAATGTGGTCCTCGATTTAACCCTCCAAAAAAACTGGAAAAAAAACCTGCTTGAAGAAAAGCCCGATTCAGGTCTGAATCGCGTCCCGTCGTCCTCTGGCTCTTGCAGGGCGATCTGGGCGGAACCAGGACGCTGCAGAAGAAGTGGACCACCTTCCAGAAGGCCCGGCTGGAGTGCTCCCTGCCCGAGCGCCACGTCTCCTTCAACAACCTGCGGGCCGTCTTCACGCTGCCCGGCCAGGACTGGAGGGGCACCACCTTCTACGGCATCTTCCACGCCCAGTGGTGAGTGAGCCGATGAGAAGGATGCAGAGATTTGCCTCGTGAGCCGGTATTTACTGCGTAATTGGATGTTTGATTTAACACTGATAGAAATGCGATCCATTAAAAGGGATTAAAATTTAAGCCTCAGTAAATGCTTTCGTGTGACGTTTAGCAGAGATTCGACGCAACGCCATTTTAAATTTAAATGAATCAGACAAACAGAATTTCTATTTAAATGTTTCTGCCGCAAAGAGACAAAGAAAAAGAGGACTATTTGTCACTGCCACAGTCGCAGAAGTGAGCTGAACGGGGAGTGTTAGTTCTGGCTATTTATATTTCACGTAAACTGTTAAACCTATTTTAGCATCACTGCACAACTGTTTCATTTCCGCCTGGCGACAGAAATTCATACCGCCGGTAATTTCAGGCCTGCAGTAAATTACATCCCAGGCATTTACGAGTCTGAGAAAAATACACGTGGCTGATAAAGATTTTTCTTTCCCTTTTTATTTGGAAGTAACTGGAGTAAAAGTGTTCGGCGGCATGCAAAGATTGACATTTGTTGCGCCATTATATATCTGTAATCTATTAATGAGGCTCCGCCAGAGCAGCGGGACGAGAGGGTGGATGGTTTTCTTCAGGAGGAAAGTTAGAGATGTTCTGTGTCTCCAGGCAGTGCCCTTTGATGTGAGTCTTTTTGTGTTCTTCTGTGAGATATCATATCACAAACCGAGCCAGCTTTGAAACTCGAGCTTTGTTCCTTCATTCAGGGTTCCCGAAGCTGCCGAAAAAGCCTAATCCCTTTTCTCTGTGGGACTCGCGGGGGATTCCTTATTGCTCCCGTGGCTTTGATAGGGTTAACACTGAGCTAATTTGACATTATGTTCAGGCCGCGGTTTGACACAAACATCTTCTTTAGCTTCTTCTGTTAAGACGTCGGCTCTGCCTTTGAGTTTTGACATTGGGCTTTATGAAATCTGTGCCCTCGCCGCAGACTTAAAGAAGTTCTCCACGCGGGTGAAATCACTTTATGAAATCAACCATTTTCTTCCCTGTTTACAGCTATCAAAAGGCGCGGCAGCGTACAATCCTTTTAAAGCTACATCTGGAGCTGTCTAGGTCAATAAGCGCCCCGGCAAACAACAGCAGGAGCTGAAAAAACGCTTCTTAGTGTTCAAGATGGCTGGTGTTGTCAGAACCGTACCGCTAGCAAATTAAAGCCATCAGAAAATAGATGCTTTCTTCCCATTTACTTGGGATGGAAATTAAATGTGAGAGGAGAGCTACAAGTATAATTTAATGTGCCTCGGTCTTGTGTCAATACCCAATTTCAGCCCAGCTTTTGCTCTGAAAATGAGAATTTTTAAATTAAGGCCGCACACACCCCCCAGCCTTCCCCTTAAACGAGTTACATTTCCTGACTCTCAGCAGTAGCTGATTGATTTCTCTCTTGTACGAAGGAGGCGCATTGTCATGTACGTGAACATCTGCTATTTTTGGCCACAGGAAGAGCAGCAACGTGTCAATACAGCCGATTGTTTCCGCTCAGCCTCCGGGATTAATATGCATTTTCAGCAATGAGGTCACTGAGCTGGGATCCAGCTTTCGGCACGTGTGTGACTGTTGAGTTTTAGCTCACGTTCTGCAGATTTGACGCTCAACTTCACCGCGTTTGCTCTTCCTCTGTCCTCTTTTTACCGGGACTGGGGAAGGTGGAGGACTCGGCAGCCATTTCCCAGTTATTACTGCCCTCTCCCCCCTCCCTGACGTGTTACCGCTTTTTTCAGGGGGGATGTGGACGTGTCGGCGGTTTGCCAGTACCAGATCGGAGACGTGAAAAAGGTGTTCGACGGCTCCTACAAGGAGTACAGGGAGCCATCCCAGAGATGGGGACGCTACACGGGTCCCGTCCCCAGCCCCCGGCCTGGATCGGTAAGCCACTCAGAGCCCAGAGAAAGCAAGAAAGTAGTGTGTTATAATGGGAGGGATGTGAGGTTGGAGTTGGGATGGAGTGAGACGTGGGTGGAAGTAGAATAAGAGGTAATAAATGATGTGGAGCAGAATGGAAGCTGCCATTGGATATAATGACCCAGGACAAACGCAAAAAGGAAAGGAAGGACTGTGAAAGGAGGGGGGGGGGTGATCTCCAAGCCAACTAACCATGCCAACCTGTACCGGCTCCAGCTAAGAAGTTTCCTCCTTCTCCTTTCTGGCCCCATCGCCGTTCCCCCTACCGACTTTCCTCCATTCTTTTCTCTGCTCCATTTCCCTCCCGTCTCTCTGTCCTGTTTTGGTTCCTCAGTGTATAACCAAGCCAGACAGGGAGAACGGCTACAACAGCTCTCTTCAGCTGCCTGATGCCACGCTCAACTTTGCCAAGAAACACCCGCTGATGGAGGACAAAGCTCTCGGTCGCCCCCTGCTGCTGACCAAGGGGGTCAACTTCACACGGCTGGCCGTGGATCGGGTCAGTGCCCTGGACCAGCGGGCGTACCACATGCTCTTCATCGGCACAGGTAGAGACGCCATCAGTAATTCTGTTTGTGTCGCCCTTCAACACAACATCCTGTAGTTTTTTTACCTTCGGAAGGCCTCACTGAGCAACACAGTCACATTTCGACTGCAGATTTTGATTTGATCTCTTCCTATTAAGCTTTGTGGATTTTGCTTCCATACACACCAGCAGAGTAAATACTCTTAGGCCTTAACTTTTAGTCTGATTTCAGACGCTCTCTGGTCAAATAAGCCATCTTAAAACCACTCCCATCCCCCTGTTTTGACATGTTTATAGAGCTGCATCTGCAAACGGGGTAAACACGCTGATAAGCCCTTTCCAGCTCCGAATCAGTCTCCCAATGAAGCGCAGGCCAAAAGAACATCCTGCTCTCCTGTACAATAATGTTGAATCATCTCCTTAATCTGCGGTGCATTAATAAATTAAAGCCTTACAGGTTAAAGCTTGCATTTTATGCAGGGTTATTTTATTAGCCTGCATTATTGTGCATAATATTCCTGTTATGGGGCTTACCTCCTGTAGTATGGTGTTTAAACCAGAGCTCTCAGTCTGTTTGGCGTGTAAAAAAGGGGGAGGGTGTGTGTCAGCGTGTGTTAGGGGATTCTGAAAAAAAGGTGAGAAGGCGCCTGCAGACAGAGACAGGTACGGGTATTAGGTATGGAGCCATGAAAACAACACGCCATCTGGGCAGACTTCAGCTGGGTTTCAATTAAGGCCTTCATTAGCATGCCCAGATCCATCTCCACGCATCAAAAGGAAGCATCGACGTTTGTGCGACTCAATTAATATCTGCAGTCAGTAGCCATAGGGCCCATATGCCGGTGTCATGTTTTTTGGCACAACTCAGAAATTAGCTCGTCCTCCCAGACACTTAATCCTGAGGAGCAGCACTCTGACAGTGGATCGCGGGGAATGGGAATTTAAATGCAGTTCCATCTCGTGAATGAGGAGAGGCTGTTTACCATTCAGGTCACTGCGGAAGGCTGAGTGACTGGGGCAACACTGACTGCGCGACAACAGCGCGACTCTGGGCTTCTCTCGGCTCGGGCACACACACACAGACACACACACCTACGAGGCGCGCGCACACACAGATGCACACTCGCCCAGCCGAGCGCGGTCATCCCCCGCTAGTCCCGCTTCACAGCACAAACTCAACAGGGCCCTTGGCAGACGTGCGCTGATAGTGCCAGTTGGGCTGCGGGCTTGATTAGCTATTAGCTGCGGCATGGCGACAGCTGATGTGAAAAGAGAGAGAGAGAGAGAGGGGAGGAGGGGGGGGGGGGGGGGGGGGGGGGGGGGTGTTCGCTTGTCAAGACCGTTTTTAAGAAAAACCAAGCTCCAGGATTGAGGGATTAGCTTGACTCTGGTCCCTGACGCAGTGAGAGGCGAGCACGATGATACGCCTGCTGCTTTCTCTGCCTCTATGTGTGTGTGTGTGTGTGTGTGTGTGTGTGTGTGTGTGTGTGTATGGATTTGCTTCTCTCAAGCCTCCCTTTGGCTGCCAGGTTAGCTTTTTCATATTTTCCGTGACAGTCTCCTAATCGTCCGAACCACGCAAGACAGCACATGTCGGCACACGACGCCGCTCCCCTCCCAAACACGTCCAAAAAGCAAGGTCACCCCAGCAGCTGTGCCCGAGACGTCTTTCATCACCGGGGGATTTAAACGTGTTCTCGGTGCCCTACATGAAAGGAGCAGAGAATCTCCTCCTCCAGCATCAGCTCCCCATGCATCACTTGGAAAGTCCTCAGGTTTCTCTGCTAGGACTCTTGCTCCTAAACTAACTAAATGGGCAGGGGCAGAAGCTCCGTTCTTTTAAGATCTCCTCCAGCATGAGGTCCTGGAGCTGGGCGTTATGACAGGAGAGGCCCTGTCTTGTTTATCACAGCCGCACAGTCGCAGGAATCTTTTTCGGTGCCACTCGCATTAAAGTTTTAAAAGCCGCAGAAAATTAGATGACACAAGTTGTTTGCAGTTGGCAGCGAGCTCGCTATCCACTTAGCGTTTCCTTCTCCTCAACACTGGAACAGATATCCTCAGCAAACATCTTTTCTTCTCTTATTTTTTTAAATTTTGCTGGTAAGATTAATGAGATTGAGCCAGGTTAGTGGCACCAGACGCAGAGCTTTGCTGTTCCTATGTTCTCCGTGCAGCTCGGATGCGATAGATGTTATTAGTTCACTTTCACCTGTACTTTGCCTGCAGTGACAAGTGGAAAACTTGGGTTAATTTTAGGCTCTGAAAGGAACAGCGGGAGCCGATAGCAAACACGACACCACTCAGACAGTCGGTGAGCCCTCAGTGTGACTCATGAAGCAGAGGGGATGTTTTTCAGCCCTTGTTTTAATACTGCGAGTCAACAGCAACGCAGTGCTTGCAAATGATCATATTTCACCATTAGTATGCAAATAAACCCCTTTACAGTAGGTGTGTCTGTGAATTTATGAGGATATCACAGTGAAATACTTTGCAGTTCCTGGTGTTTGTGTGGAGAGGGTTCATATTTAAACTGACTGATGCGCAACCACCGGTGCATTTATCTGAGATTGTCATTTTTATACAAACATGCTGCTCTATTTCCGTAAGTATGTTAGTAGATGTTTTCTAATATAATATCAACTATATATAAATGGCTTCTATGGCTTTCAAAGGCGAGATTTGACTTGTTCTGTGTATAAGCCTTTTGGACATATCAGCTCTGATTGGTATCCCTAAGTATTGTTCATGCGTTCCATGAACAATGGTGAATGTCGGATTTTGAAATGAACAGGACAGAAATAAAGTGAGGTTGTGCCCTCTTTTTCTCCCGTTGTGCTGCAGCGGAGGGCTGGCTGCAGAGGGTGCTGATCCTGGGCTCGGAGTCTCACGTGATAGAAGAGATCCAGCTGTTTGAGACGGCCCAGCCTGTGGACAGCCTGACCATCTCCCACTCCAAGGTAGGACACGTTTGACACGTAAGGTCATAGAAAAGGAAATTTTGAGAAAAGCAAACGCAGCATAGCCGGGCACCTTTCAGTTACTGAGTCACATGTGAGGCCATCTGTCCCACAGCTGAAGAAAATCAGCTGAGGATTTTAAGAGAGCCTTGTCCATAAACACAGGCATTCGCTCAACAGGAAAGGTCTAAGAAAAGTACAAACTTTCAGTTTGAAAGAAGCAGGGCTCCATCCGTTTATTTTGAAACAGCAAAAGCAAAGGACTGAGTCATCACTGTCTGTGTGAAGAACGTGTTAACAGACCAGGGCAACGAACTGAGGCGGAAATCTGTTCGATGAGAGCCAAGAGCTCTTCTTCTCACATGGTCAAGTGCTTTATATATATATATACATGCACCCCGCAGATTCTTTTAGTTCCTAGTTTTGTCTTAAAGGCTGAAAATAAGTCTTTTGGCTGTGTTGGTAATCTGTTTGGCCAACGTGCCCTGAGAGTGGAGATTAGCTTTCTTTCTCATCACATCCACTGCTCTTTGGTTTTTGTTCAGTCATTCGTCTTCCAGATGCTAGCAGAAGCTCCTATCGAGCTCCTATCGAGGTCTTCCGCTCGTGGCTCCACGTCAGCAGAGCTCTGGAGCTCTGAGGTCCGAGGCGTGAGCAGAGCCCGTGCGCTGCCCCGTCCCGGCCGGTCCGCAGAGTCCTGCCTACCGGTCCACGCACTTTAGACGGGGCGTTTTATCCGCTAATGCCCGCTGCTTATCTCATTAATGCCGGATTAGCCACCCCCAGATGCTTTTTACGACGGCTTTTGCGAAAAGGGCACAAACCAGATTGGATTGAAAGAGGGTCGGGACTGTGTGTGCTATTGTAATTGAGAGTGATTATCCCATTATCTCTTCCAACCCATAACTCACTCATTCTCTCCTTCTCTCTGTTTATCTTTCTTCTTCCTCCTCTCTCTCTCTCTCTCTCTCTGGTTTCTGTCTCCCCGGATGGGCGGCTGGCTCGGGTCTTTTTCCTCCTCTTCCCTGCCTCTCGTTGACCCCTTTCGTAGAAGTACTTGTACATCGGCTCTCGCTCCGAGGTCCTCCAGCTGCCGTTGGCCAACTGCAGCCGCTATCAGTCTCAGCCAGACTGCCTCCTCGCCAGGGACCCCTACTGCGCTTGGGACAACGAGGGCCGGGCCTGCGTCCGCATCGACCTCCACCGGGGGTGAGCCCAGCTCCGCTCTTCCTTCTGTGCTCGATGAGGCGCGGCGTTGCTATTAAAAGAAGTCTCTGGTGCACGTACGCCAAACAAGCCTCTGAAACAGTATTTGAGTATTATGTACCCCCTAAAAGTTTGACTTGAGGGCTCGTCTTCTAGCTGAATATATAAAAGTAGGCGGGTTTTAGAGAGTCTTCTGAAAGAAACCTTATTGTTAAACATTTTAACACATTATCGGGAGAAGAACAGTTCCTTTAAATGTATCCGTTACGCTTGTTTACGGGTTTGTAAGACAACAGTCTAAATCTGAATAGGTTTGCCTTGTGTATTAAATGTTATTCTCCAAAATGTATGAACAGAAGTTGCATCTGCTGCATCCTCTCTGCTGTCCGTCCCTTTGCCTCCAGGTCCACCTCCTCCCTCTCGCAGGACCTCATGCTGGAGAGCTTCAATCGAGGAAAAGCCAAGTTTGATAAACCCGTCTCCATCCCCAGCCCTGGTGAGTATGGCGAGTTTTCCTCTCAGTGCAGTGCAGTGATAGCAGCAAAAAAAAAAAAAAACAGGATGGATTTGAGCTGGTGAATACATTTGGAGAGAGTTGAATAATGTATCAGGTAGAGACAGTTTTGTGAAACCGCAAAAAATTCTCTCACAGACTTTTTGTGGCTTGCGTTAACCCCTTGCTCGTCCTCGCTCCGCAGAGCACTCCCGTCTGAGGAATTACACCGTGGTCGTGGGCTCTGACATGGTCCTGCCCTGCCAGCTGGTGTCCAACCTGGCCCAGCCCTTCTGGGTTCTGAACGACCGCGAGCTCCAGCTGGGGGACCCGGAGGGCGGGGGGCCTCGCTTCGACCGGGCGCTCAGGGCCCTGGTGGTCCCCGACGCCGGCCAGATGCAGGCCGGCCGCTACGTGTGCTACTCCGAGGAGCAGGGGGTGAAGTTCCAGACGGAGCGCTACCAGGTGGCGGTGGTGGCCAGCGCCCCCGTCTTCATGGAGGCGCGGGCCCCGGACAGCAGCATGGGCCTGTTCTGGGTGCTGGTCATCACGCTGGGCGCGGCCTGCCTGCTGCTCCTGGTGGCCGCCCTCTACCTGCGGCGGAGGCTGAAGCTGGCGCTGGGCAAGGGGGCCGACATGAAGCCCCTGGAGAGCACCCTGGTCTACCCCATCACCCTGCCCAAGGAGCCGCCCACCTTCGTGCCCAGCAAGATGCCCAGCGACGAGGACCGCTTCTGGGAAACGGGCGCCAACTATTACTACTCGGACGGCTCGCTGAAGATCGTCCCCGGCCACGCGCTGGGGCCCAGCAGCGTGAGCAGCACGGCGTCGCCCAGCGCCATCCCCGGCCAGCCCATCCACTCCCCCAGCCGGCTCAGCCTCACCAACATCCGAGGCTCGGGCAGCAACGGCTACATCCGGCTCAACATGAGCGCCGCGGGGGAGGAGAGGGCTAGCGGGGCTGGCGCTGGCGGCGGCGGGCTGGGGGCCCTGAGCGTGGGCGGGAACGACTACTCCAGCCCCTTCAAGGAGGAGCTGCGCCGCACGCTGCAGCAGAGGAGCGTCCTGCCCGACGCCAACCCCGAGGAGTCGTCCGTTTAGGCTCCGTCTCCCCCCCCCCCCGAGCCCGTCCCGCGAGGTGGAACGACAAAACAACCAGCCTACCTCCCTCCTTTTGAGGATGCCCGCTCTCCCCCTCCCTCCAGTGACATGCTGTTAACTCCCCCTGCTCTCTCTCTCTCTCTCTCTCTCTCTGTCTTTCTCGCCCTGCCTACGCCCGATTGGCTCACTGTAAACATTCGCAGCGCTCAGCATGTTAAACACACACACACGCTCGCCAACACGCTCTCCTCCGATTACCGTGTTTTTTTCGGCGACATGCTGCCTCGGCCACGGCTCCCCCCCCCCCCCAGCTTCCACTGTGCGACTGCCACTCCTGTAAATTTTGTATTTAAAGAGGCCGAACACAGAGGGAGAGACCACCTCCGGCCAGGGAGGCCGGACGGACTGCGTCACCGGCTCAGAGAAGCTGAGCCCGGCGACAAACTGGAAACGTTGAACTAATTCTGAGCTTGTGTTTCCCCTTTGAGACTTTTTCAGCTAACTGCACTTAACAACTGGAAGCATGTCTTCCCTTTTTTTGTTTTATTTTTTGTACTCGTGAGCCAGGAGTGAGAGAGCAGTATAAAAAAAAAAAAGACTAAAAGACTAATTAATCTCCCAGCAAGACGACAATCACGTCCCCGTGGCAGGAGCTCTGTGTGGGATCGAACAGAGAGGAGAGACAAAGACTAAAAAGAGAGGAAATTAAATGGAAAATGAAGCGAACTGGAGTGAAAGGCATGAGGGGAAAGCGGGTTGTTCTGAGTGAAGGACAATCTCTCAAGACTTTTTTTCTGCTTAATTTATACTTCCCCTTGTCCCGTGTCGTATTTACCGCCGGAGAAAAAGCCCCCCCCCCATCCCCATCCCCATCCCCATCCCCATTCCCTTCCACTTTAATTTGATGTGATCACTAGTTTGATTTTTCTTGACGTTCTTTTTCTGTCTTTTATGGACTGCAGCGGCGCTCCGGCGGTTAGTTAGCGGCTAATGGCTCACCCCTGTGAAAGACGACGTGAGGGCACCCTGCTTAACACCACATTACCCCCCCCCTCGGTCCCGCACACTGACCTTCAAGCCCAACGCGCTGTCCACTCGAGTGTGTGGCAGATGGGTGTTTTGATTTAGACCTTTTTGGACGATTGTTCGTCTCCTTTGAAAAGAAGAGGCTATCTGCGTTCGGCGGGTGGCAGCGGAACAATAATTGCACAGTTCATTCCAAATTGGAGCTGACACAAAGACATTAGGCCTGGAGAATGTAGTTGAACCCTCGTTGTCGTGACCGCTGTGGATGTCTCAATAAGTGCTTTATATTTTATGTTCGGTGAGGGTGGTAACTTGCACTGCCAAGAAGGAAACTACCACTCAAACACACACACACACACACATACACACACACAGTCTGGAGAGTCCCAGCTTTCTGGGACCACGGGCCGATTGTGATCCACCTTCATACCCCACAAACCCCCCCTCCCTCCCTCCCGACGTCCAGAGACTGACCCGGGTACACTGTGGATTTGAACCGTGGAAGAGCACTGTACAACACTCCAAGACAGCAGGAGCGGTGATGATGGAGGAACGAGCTGACAGACAGACCGATTGCTGCCTTGCTGACAAATGACTGGCTCCAGGCGAGAAGCGGCCGCGAATGGAAAGAGGTATATTTTCCGCTTGATTTGATGCATGCAAACACATACCAGGCAGGTTCTGAGCTTTTCTCACGTACTTCTCTTCAGCTGGGTGTGAGATGACTAATTTAGATGAGAAGTGATGTTGTTTGCTTTTCGATAAAGAAGGATTTCATGCTGTCGTGTCTGCTGGGTATAAAGCAACGGTCAGGAGGTGACCCCAGGAAGCCCCAGGACCAATACATTCAGATTATGATTTTAGGGATCGAATCACCATCCAGGTCCAGTCCTGGAGGGCTGCTCTCCAGCAGGTTTTCGACGTTTCCCTGCCTCAAACGGATCCATCCTAAAGATTGCTAAGCTCTGCACGAGCCTGCTAATGGTGCATTGATGTGAATCAGGTGTTTTTAAGCAGGGAAATATCTATAACCTGCAGGATACTCCTGATTTATAGGCTCAATTATGCTTTAACTAATCGATATGCTCCGCTCGTGATCCACGGCTCCATCTGTTTGCATCTTCTTGTAAAAATCATTAAAGAGTAAATGTGTAGTATCACAGGCACACCTCATTAACACAACAGGCCACTCACAGCATTTCCATCCAGTCACTCTACTCTGGAAAAAAAGAATCCTGATGTTATTACTGAAGTTCAACGGCTTTAGATTTCAGGGAAAACCTGAGCTGAATTCTTCTGCTGTTGGAATTGTCGTGGGACGGGGACGGTGGTCCATTTAATCAGCCGAGTCGAGCCGGCGCTCAACTCGGCCGCGCACGCCTCAGTGACCACTGATAGCGGCCGGCTTTACCCACCTCCCCGAGGTTACAAAGCTTATCTCACATTCTTCGCCCGGTCTCTGCTGGATGTTTTCCCCCTCCTCTTTCTTAAGGACATCGGTTTCACACTCCGCATGCCTGACGTCGATAGTTTTTCAGTTTTTCTCTGCCACTTCTTCTCTTGTCATCCGCTCGCCTGGTTTCCTCGTTTTTTTCTTTTTTTTAAGGAAACGTTGCCCATCATTGTGAGATGTGTTAAGTTTTCAGAGAGGAGCTCTTTGGGAATCACCTTGTCGCTGCAAAAATGCTGTTTAGTATCTGTCAAACTGTCCCGTCTTTGACATTTTTTATAGATACAACCAAATAAATGGCAACAAATGATGTGATTTGGTGACAGGTTTCTAATGAGAAAATGTCAGTGCACACGATTTAAAGTGTGTACTTTGAGAAATACTCTGAGAACTTGTCTGTGGTGTATTGAAACGGCACTGGTTGATCCTTTGATTTATATTTTATGATTGAATGATTTATAGATGAGTGTTAAGGGGCTGACTGAAAATCAATGATTATATAAAAAAGCGTCCGATGTCCAAGAGCGAAACTCCGGAAGACCTTCAGACTCAGTTCGGCTCACAGCTGCGTCCATTAGATGCAGAGCGTGATAAAAGCCAGTAGCACGTCATGTTAGCCTCACTGATAGCAGCTTAGCAGGACTTCTTTCCTCGAATTTCATGGTGCCAGATTTCACCCGCCTCCCTCTCGCTCTTTAATGAGAGCTGCGAGGAATAGGTGGATCACAAAAGCTGATTTCCTGGAAAAAGGGGCTTCCTCGCTCAGAAACCATTTTTTTAAAACAAAAGTTCCACATTGATGTTGGTGTTTTATAACTTTATTTGACAGATTCAGACCAGCCTTCCACTCAGAACATCAGAACAGATTCAGCTTCTCTCATCCAACCCAAACAAATCGTTTATGTCGTTTAGAATATAACCTAAATGAATCCAGAGGTTTTCCATCATGCAGCAGCCCTTAATGTAGAGCTATCCATCAGTCTGAGGTCACCCTGAAAAGAAGGATGCAGCACAACCTTTTTATGTCATTTTCCCTGTTACTGACTCCGGTGTCTCCTCTTTCACAGATTTGTCCGCCGGTTCTGGTTTCTGTTTTGTGAGGACTTGTCTCCAGAGACCAGAAGAGCACAGCATGAAGGAAGGGCGAGGACATAAATACCTTGGTTTGTTCCCACTGTGTACAGAGCGCTGAGAGAGATGTAGAATATCAAAACCATCACTCTGCTGAGGAAGCACTCCATCCTAGTGCTGCATGAGCCTCTCTGCGAGTGGACTGCACATCTTTGATATGATCATCCTTGTACAAGTGCAACATTTTGATCGATTCTTTTTTGGACTTTTTCAGATGACAATGTTCTGCGACGCTAATGCCCTCTTTGGAAAAAAAAAAAGACTAATAATGTCCGCTTTTACGTCTCAAGTGTTGTACAGGACTTCATAGCTGCATTTCAACTTGTTTACTTTATCTGTGCCTCTTCACCTTTTGGATAAGCCAAAGTAGACTGCAGTTGCTTTCTCCTCTTAGATTTATTTATTTTCGTTTTTTTCAAATGGATATTTAAGTCTCAGAAAATCCGTCCATGTTGCTTCAGCGAGCTGACGCCGGAAAACTTCCTGCATATATTATCTGCTGATAAACTTCCCCTCAAGCAAAAGATGAAAACAGGCTTGTTCACGTCAGTAACGATCTCGCGTAGAGAAACGTATTTTTATTCTCCTCCTACACGACGAAATGCTTCTTTATGTATTGTTTTTCAGCCCCCTGAGAATCAAAACTATAATTGCTGATGTGAAAAAGGTGACTTACAAAATGTTCAGTCCATCATTTCAAGTCTCCTGAGGCAGAAAGCTACAAACAAATGAGCTCTTTACACTGGTACTTAATTATGTCTTAATACCCCCCCCTCCCAACCTGGTTTTCTTTTATTACACGCTGTTGCTAAAACTAAAAAGATTCATAAATGCAGGTGTCAAGCTTGGAAAAAACATGCATGTGTTGTGTTTCTTAGGTGTAGCTCTTCATTTTGTTTTGTTCGCTCCCACACAAGGCTTTAAGTTCTGCTGTTTTCTTATGTTATTTTATGTATTATTCTAATTTTACTTCACCCCCTTTTTCGGCTTTGTTTTGATTGGTCTGTTTGTTTTTTGAAGATATGTTAGTAACTTATTTCACTTGTACAAACGTGTTGATATTTATTATCACTGTACATATTTCCGTATTTTTTATATGTGTATATATACACAAATAAAAATAGTGATATGATTCAGGTGCGTGAGTTTGTTTATTTTTCATGTGGAAGTTACAGATTTGTCATATAAGAAGGCAGTTGGTTTGTTTTAAAATGATCATGAACAGCGGTTACCAATCATGTGTACAACCACCACAAGCAGTAAGTAATAATAATGTAGAAAGATTGGTGCACCATTTCATTAATACTAGAAAGCATTTGTATTTTTATCAATACAATAACAAAACCTGAGACAAATACATCTAACGAGAACAAAAGTTCTTGTTAAATGGTAGCTATTCATAGTATTTGCACAAATTGCTCCACTTAAACAAATACAGATAAGAAGCCCACTGATAATCTTAACTGTCATGATTAAACACTGCGTAAAATGCATTAAATAACTGTTTTAATTAAGCCTTTTCAGCAAGCTGAACGAGGTGATTAAATTTTTCTTGAGATTGATTGCAAAGAGTGGAACCAGCGCAGTAGCACGCTGTGTATTGATGCCAGTTAGCCACAAAATTATGAGTTTGTTGGTCCATTGCCCTGTCTAATTATCTGAATTAATGTTTTATGTCTTGGACCATTTTCAAAACACACATCCAAAGAATGACAATGAAAGGAAAAACAAGATTTATATATTTATATAAATCTCAGCTGTTGTGTGGAGGCTTTGTCATGTCCAAAGCCTGCGCTTGCACAACAAACTAGCCTGGTTCCAGCACAGGGTTCGTGTGGTCGGCAGACACAGCTGTGAAATAGGCTCACTGGTGCATCTGCTCTCAGTGTACTCAGCTGCACAACAGACTCTCAGACCTCCCAAAAGGATGAGCTCTGTGTTTGTCTGAGATCAAATGGGAGTCCTGAGATATACAGGAGTACACCACAGTTCATCCACCTGCTTACAGATTTGTCAGTTCTTACTTCTGTGAAAAACTGTCTAAACAAATACGAATGAATCTTTATTATTATAATACATATCAACTGCAGATCATGACTGTTAAGCAACTGTAAAGCAAATAATTCATTACCAAAAGAGAAGTCAAGTTAAATTCCCTGCCAGCTCCAGCTGTTTGCATTCAAGACACCTCTTAGCAGATGGGGCACAAAATAGGAAGAACCTGTAAGTCCAGCCAAAATCTGGATCACTTTAAAACAAGAATGCTTTTGTATTTCACTTCTGCATATCCATTCGTTTTTATAACTTTCTATGGCATATATTTGGCCCAGTACAAGGTGCATACATCTCTTTGTTCTTATTATCGGGGTCCGTTTGAACTGAAAAAAAAGAAGAGAAAACTCCTGTATTCTTTTCATAAGTCATATGCTATGACCACATGAAAATCTACTGTGATTAAGAGAAGGGGGTACAGAAACTCGAAAGGACTTTGGAATAGATATTCGCGCAGAAAGGTGAACCCAAACACATGTTTGGTCAGGTGACACGGGACTCTTGATTTCTATTGGCCCATTCATATTAAACAAGTTCCGTTTCCTCCAAGCCGTTCAACAAGCGGAAGTTAGTACCCACGAACGTAGCCCACGAAGATAGTGATGATGAAAAATATCATTTTCGTTATTTTAACACAATCACTTTTTATAATTTGTCATTAGAATTAATATACAATGCATTTGGTGGTATTTGATAAAGCTTTTTTATTTTTTTAAACTGTTGTTTGTTTTTTGGCGGAGGGATATTTGCTCGACCGCTTGAGCGTGGAGGGTGATTTGAATCATATAGTGCTCCAGTCTCTTGGAAATTAACTTTTGTTGATGCACAGACGTCTGCCGGGACGTAACTTAGTGGCCTTATATGACATTTTACACCCATATACAGTTATACTTATATAGGTAACCTACAAGGTAAGGACTTAACTTGACGTTGTCACTTTTGACACAACTGTTGCTACTGTTAGCCAAGATATATGAAGACGTTTGTCTGTGATCACAGGCTTTAAAATGAGCCTTTAGCAACGGCGAAGACCGTTTTCTTTTCCTGTGTTTTAGTTGAAATAACGTCGTAATTGTTTGTAGAAACACGGTGCTACAGCTTTAGAAATACTACAGAGCTAATAAATTACGACAACTTATTCTGAATTGCAGCGTGGTCTCTTTAACATGCAAGTGCTACTCCCTAGCTATGTTAGCACGCTGCTAAAGCTTGTCTTTACGTCCTTGTAATTGCATCCACTTTGCCATGAAGTTGTTTTTATGCATACATAGTAAATGAGATTTGCCTTTAGATGTCCAGACCCGTGATTCTTGGAGCAAATCAAAGTTTAATGTAAACGTCGTCTTGTCAACCGCCCATCATTCCCATTCACTGTTTTGCTCCTGAATGGTGTGAATTTGTTCATGTTGTAATTCATGTTTTCATGACAGATGACTACAGTAGAGACAATCACTGCCGGCACAAAAGAAGACCAGGAGAACATGCCTCCCTTAAAGGATTGTACACCCTCTGCTGTAAATGAACCAGCAGTTCCCCTGAATTTCCCTGGACTCACACCAAGTCAGTTTGGCATATCTGTGGGGAGTTTCACCCCATCATCGTCCTCCAACTTAAAAGGTATAACCTTTATTACCTGTGTACATAAGTATTTGCTTTTTAACTGAGACTATGAAAGTGGTCTTTGTCTGAAAATGGGGTTTAAGTCGTATGATAAGATTATAATAAGCATTAATGTGTGCAAACAAACACGTTAAATGTTCAAGAAGGCTGGATTCTTGCATGTACTGTCAGTCCAGTGTTTCAGAAGTGACGTTTTGCCCCCTCTCCCTGCAGATAAGTCTCGTCTTGCACAGATAAAAGCGAGGCGAAGATCCAGCATTGGCGTGCGCGGATCCCCGGAGACAAATTCCCTTATCCGCTTCATGGCACAGCACAGGATGAAGACCCCGCCAACGTCACAAACTCCAGAGGTGAGTAGCTCCTCAGCATGGAACCCTGTCTCTGGGGGTCGGTGGAGCTCTGAAACCAGCTCCAACACTGCATTAGAACTGATCATTGTCAGACATAATCTTGTCTTTAGTCTCTGCCATGTTCTTTTAGAAAGTGGTGCTAGCAGTTCCCCCTTTGCTGTACAAATGTATTAAATGGCTTTTCCATGTTGTTTGACAGCTCTTTTACATTTGGATTAAACCCAAATGTTCATCTGTGATATTTACAATCAACACATGTTCATCGAAAGCCCCACTAGAATAGTGTTGCAAGATACAATCTGTCCACTCAAACGCTACAGAGCCATCACGAATAAAATAAATACAAAGATGACTGGAACAAAAATTTACAGCTGTTTGTAGATAAGCCAAAATGTTTATGCTATGAAATGCCAGTTTGTAAGTCCACCTGCAACAGAACTGTAACACTTCACAAGAAGTCTGTCTGTTCAGTAGACAAATGTGCTTCCTCTTTTTGTCTTCTTGTCTTTGACTTTTTTTCTGTTTTTAGGTCAAACTTAAACTTTTAAAGATGGTTCTGCTTGACATGCAGTACCCATCGGTAACGTGTCATTGTACAAGCTGCTTGAATGTTAATTAATTTTGGGCTGGATATGTAGATTATAGATGTGTTGAGTTCCCTTTGGCACTGTTCTCATTTTATCAGCAGGGCATGATTAATAATTAAACCAGTAATTTTCTGTTTGAGGGGCCCTGTAAACACATGTTGTGGGAGTGCACCTCATCCTCTGTAAAATTAACATATCCTGACCTGAGGGCAGACAGGCTATCATGTCCGGCTTGTTTAACACGGGGCGCCCCGTGAGCTGCTGCTAATAAGCATCCTCCCAAACACGCTGGGAAAGCTTTAATGCCAACGGGAGCTTTTGTATCAACAAGAGCTCAATTCAGCTAATGTATAGAGCAAAATAAAGAGCTGGACCCCCTGCTGTGGGGGAGCAAATGACTGCCAACGGTTTAGAATGTAGGAGTGTTGTTCATTAAGGATTGCTGTGACATCAGCATGACGTTTTATGCTTTGTTGTCAACTTATAGACAACTGAACCCTCATTTGTGAACATGAATGTGATCCATTTTTACCTAAAAAGAAGTTATAAGAAGGACACATATTACATCTTAGTTAATTTCTTTTCAACTTAAGTGCTTTATGTAATTTCTGTAGCATGTTCAGATCAAAATGGGATTCCTGTATTCAGTATATTGGATCCCTTTTTAACGCTGACTTTATATCTGGTTACAGTAGCCGGGCTTCCTCTGCAGAGCTGTTTGATAGCTGCTGTACAGCTTTGTGTTTGGGCAGATGTCCCCATAGCGTGAATCACTCAGGGTGTCCCTCTGCAGAAAAAGCACTGGCAGCATGTCTGGCACGTTCTGTCTGTGGCAGCAGAGCTTCAAGGGTTGTTAGAGCATGTTTTAGGTCGAGTGTGGGACAGTTTAACACGGTATTCCCTTTTAGAGGGTTTCAGGTGACTCCACCTGCAGGGCTTCTGGATTACTGGCTGTTTCATGTGGGATATGGAGGCTCCATTCCGCTTTAGCTTTGTTGTGATTATTATTTTTATTATCATTATTATTATTATTATTACAGTTATCATTTAGTTTCCGGTCCATCTGGTCCCACAGGAGGGACTTCCCTTTTTCAGTCCCCCCTGACATGTCATGGCCTACCACTTTGAACAGACACTCAGTGAAAACAAATGTATCTTCTGTTTTCCTGGCACTGTTGATTCGGTGGTAACAGAGTAAATCTTTCTTTTTTTTTTTAGACAAAAACAACTTTATGAAAACTTCCTCATTCCTGCAAGAAATAATAATATATATTAATTAGAATAATTATCATAATTATGATAATCATGGAAAAAAGGTTTTCTAACATTGTGATTTGTTTTAATTCTTCTCACAATCTGAGTCAGACAATCAGAAATCAATTCAGCAGTTTAGTCACCGGCTTATTGTTTATTAGTAAGAATAATCAACGCGCTCCACCTCCATCTTTTAAAAACGTGATATTTCTAATCTTTATTTCCACTTTTACCTGCACAATATGATGCAAAGAACCCGTTAAATGCTCGGTGTTTGTCACAACAAGCGAGCGTTTGTGTTCATTAACTTGTGCTTTAAAACAGTGGCTCATAAGTCGGAGGCCGTGCCTCATAACCTGAACCAAAAGGAGTTGGAATCAGTAAGAAAACCCTTCATCTTCATCTGCCTTTGACCAGAAAGCGTCCGCTTTTTAGACCTTTTCATTTGCTGCTCAGTATGCTGTATTTCTGTTAACTTATTCATTCCGAGTTGGTGTTTATCTTTTACAGGAATTGGTGGATTTATTCAGTTATTACAAAGCTTATTGAGTTGACAATATAAAATCAATGGCTTAACAGTTAAATATTTATATGTAAAAGTCACCTGGATAATTCAGTGATGACTACGTTTTTGTTACAGATGCAGATGAATGTGCACAGGCTGATCCTTCTGAAGGCCTTTAAACGAAAATTCAAAGTAAATATATTAGCCTAAATGGAGTATAGAGGTCTGTTTGCCTCTCAAGACTTCTTAACAAATGCAGCAGGTTGCAGGGTGATTTAATTTGTAGGCAGCGGAGAGCAGACGAGCATCACGATGGCGCCATCAATGGGACATCAGGTACATCGGTCAGCTCTAAGAGCCGCTGGAAAACAGGGTGGAGACGTTTCACCCAGCTGTTTGACCCAGCTGTTTCCAGAGCGCCCCACAGCAGCCGCCACTGCTGCACGCCACTTCTTAGATAAGTTCTTCTGTTTGGAACTTGGGTTTCCTTTCCCCGGCCCCACCTCTGTTAAGGACGCCTGGTTGCTGGGCAATCGGGGCCGGGGGGGGAGGGCGGGGCCCAGATAAAGGCAGGCCAGTGTCTGGAAGCTCCACGTTAGCTCTCATATGCGCAGCACTGAAATGGAAGTCGTGCTTCTCAAACGTTTTTCTGGCAGCGCTGGCCACGTTTGGACTGGTCAGCAGAGCCGCACGCCATGCTGAGGAGGTGGCTCCAGAAGCTTCTGAGCGCTTTGTTTGACAGTGAAAGCCACAGGGTGTCTGCTCCTCATGGGGTGAGTCTGCAGACTAAGCAGTGAAGATTGTTCATTTAGCTGTGGACGCTTTATACCAGGCAGTGGGAAGAGTCTGGAAGCTTCTGGCCTCCTGTAAACATCCCCACTGAAAGATGCTGCTCTTAGAGGGCTGTGCGCTCCTGACTTGTGTGTGTGTGTATGTGATGGTGTGTGTGTGTGTCTGATAGAATTATGTCCCTCAGTAACAGCACTTTTGTCGTTTTCTAAGTTTACGGCCTGTCAAGCTGCATCTGAGTAGATGTGTGTTGTTTTCAGCCTGTTGGAGGTACCCCGTTCTTCCCTCGCGTCGCCTCGACGCTGAGGCAGAAGATGGCCTCCTTCCAGAGCCTGATGGATGGCGTGGAGAGTGACGCCTGTGATCCGGTGCCAGCCCAGGACCACGGCACGGGAGGATGCATCAGGACAGGAGATTATCGTTCTGGTGAGGCAGCCTCATCCCCGCGGCAGTAATAGTGTCATTTCTCCACGAGGCTGTTTGCCAGTAGGCTTTTTTTCTTCTTCGTTTTTTTCCTTATTTTCTGTGATGTCTGGAGGCGCCGTTCAAAAGCGGTGGATTATTCCATTTGGCTGTTTAAGCCTCACTCTGAGGACGTCTCAGTCACTTCTTCTGAACTTGGTCAGCTTCCTAAACGGGCCTCTTTCCAAAGTGTGAGCCGCAGTAATGAGACTTAATCTCCATGTCTTTGATCGGGGTTTTAGAAGTTGGTTTTAATTAGTTTGTTTTATTGTGCCTTTGATATGTTTAAACTTATTTAGCCATGCTGTCTCCAAATCCTATTTATTTTTTTATGTTGCTGTAATTTTGCTGTTTGATGGATGTTTTTTTTCTCTTCCCTCGCTCTATCAGATGGGATCAGCTGTAGCGCCGGGAAGGAGAACGACCCTCCGACAAAGCCCACGCCCAGCAAGAGGAGGCGCCTCGGCCCCCCCGAAAGCTGCAGCGGGCAGATTAGCGAGGCGGCTTTTCCTGTCCCCCTCCCCGGTCTGAAGGAGGAAGAGGTTGGCTCGCTCGCTCACTCACACGCTGGACTGCTGTTAATAACCGAACTTAAAAACTGTTTTTTACGTCTGTGGGCTTTGACAAGCATGCCAATTATTCTGAGCTCCTCTATAAAAGGCACATCACATGCCGCTGAAGGGGGAAATGAACCAGCTCTGTGTTGTTTGTGTGATGCAGACTGATGGGCTCTCTGTGTCCAAAGCTGCTCTCTGTGGGGATAAAACTGGCCGAATACAAATCGATAGGTTTTGTTACCGTTATTATTACCCAACATGAAAAACAAGTTATGAGCCTGTAAAAAAAAAAAACTCCTGTCTGTGAGGAGTGTGCTGAAATAAGACCAACAGGAGTGCCCGGCTGGTCATAAATCTTTTTCTTTATCCACTGTGATGAAGGGCTGAAGATGACATCACTCTGGTTGTGGCAGCATGAGGCTGCCACAACCAGGACATTTAAAATGTCGGTTTTTAAGGTTTCCCTCTGGATTCTCAGATTTTAGTTCCCTCTGCACAGCATATAATAATACTAAATAGAAATAAGTTTATTTCCCACCTGACTTCTGTATAAACGTCCACGTTTTCTGTCCAAGACCATTTATATTATCAAGGAAACTTTTCAGACAAGCTCTGGTGGAATTTCCCTTCTTCTTTTTCAGCATCCATTTTTCTTTCTTTTTGTTGGCTCGTTTTGAACTCAAATGCCTGGAGAGTGTTCTTTTTAGTCTGTAATTTCCACACAACCCACCCTGAGTGGTCCACAAGTTGTGAACACAGGCTGTGGTCTGTAGTAGGAGTGGGCTCAGCATCAGGGATGGCTGCAGGAGCAGCACATGATTAGCAACATTTATCCCAACCCAGGGTTTCAATCCTGGGAAAAAACGTGGGATTCAGGCTCTCTGGATGGTGGAAGACCTCCAGGCTTTTTTCACGTTTGAAAAAATAGCATCCACCCGCTTTTTAAAATCCAGAACAAGTGAGGTTTTATTTTAGTATTCAGCTCTGTTCTTCCTTAATTAGAGGCATTATTGTGTCGCAGTTTCAAGTTGGACTCGCCCGCGTGTGGACCATCAGAGGCGTCTCTCATCCGCGCGTCGACTCACTCTGAAGCTCTTTCATGTCCTGCGAGCTTCAGAATGAAGCATCTTCTGTATTCTCTGTCACACAGGCGGCTGCCTGTGGAGCTCAAAGCCCCGGCCGCCCACCCTGCGGGGATCATGCGGGTGCTTCAGGACCCCAGCGCTCCCCCGCCTCTCTTCCTCCCCCGGCGGAGATGAAACCTTCAGGTAAAGAGGCGCACGGCTCTCCGCGGCCGCGCCGGAGCTGTTGAGCTTTGGTCTCGGTTTGGCGTCGCCTTTGAGGCTCGTCGGTGGCGCCGCGAGGCTTCATTTGTTATCGACTCAAAACACTCAACTGCATGTAAATGCTCCACTAAAGAGCATTGTGCTTGTTTCTGTCGACCAGCAGGTGTCGAAAACAAAACCGTGGGTGCCCTCAGATCAACAGGCTGCTGTGTAAATGATAATCCCTGTCGAATGAGAGGAGAAATCAGCCCCAACGAGGCTGATTTCCCACACTGAGAATGAGCGAAACGCAGCACACGAGTAGACGCTGTTCTGTTGGGTTTTTTAATCAAAGGAATAGTGATGCGTTTTTTATCAAAGCGCTAACAGTGCTAACCTTTTAACCCTTTATTTGAGGGCCTCTGTGCCATGTGAGCAGAATAAAGTTGGACAGCGTCAAAGTCGGTGATGTCACAGGTTCCGACCAATCAGGAATGAGTCAGAAGCCACCCAGCTGCCTTTTAGATGTTGATTACATTTTGTGTTCTAAAGAGGAATTTGTAGTGTTGATTTGGATATGAAGCATTGAAAATCAAGTTTCTATGTTTATTTTTCTTTATGCGGCTTTAGGAATATGTTTTTTAGACCAAGGAGGAACCATCTCTGATCATGTTTAGCCCTCGATTTGCAGCCTGAATCTGAAGGTTTAAAAAATATGGGGGAAAAAAACATCCCCTGAAAGCCCCCCAGTGGCACTAAAGGATTAAAACTTGAGACTTTCAGCGTGTGGCGGTGTTAAAATGTTGTTATCTTTGCCTCCTGACATTGTGCGCTGAGAGCAGCAGAGGCTGAGTGACCCATTCCCCCCTTTAAGGCTTTATCTGTCCGGCAGGGGAGGCTGATCCCGCCACGGCCTCAGCGGCGAAGAAGAAGAAGCAGGTGCGCTTCGGAGGTCCTCTCTCCCCTGAGTTCTTCGACAAGAATTTACCCCCAAACACCCCCTTACTGAGGGGGGGCACCCCGGCCCGGGGAGCCACCCCGGGCGGGAGCGCAGCGCTGCGCTCGCTGCTGAGGACGCCCCAGAGGAGCCCGTCCCAAACAACCCCCCCACAGCCGGAGCGCCACAGCCCCAACGGGGGCGGAGCCTCCCCGACGTTCGCCATACCGCGCGGGGGGGGAGAAGGAGCGCACGGAAAGGTAAACGTCAGCATTCAGGCCCTCTGTTAGTGAGCAGGTACCCAGCATGTGTCCTGGAAGGGGCGGGGCTTATTGTTCCTCTTTGTGGTCTTCAGGTCGTGGAGGATTCTGACGAGACGGCGCCGGCCGACACAGGTTGATGTTTCCACCTTTCTGAAGCAGAGAACTTTTGTCTCTGAACGCTCTCTGAAAAACGCTCTTTCCATCATTTATGTTTTCAGAGTGCATCTTTGATACCCGGCCACTGAATTTAGACGCTGCTTTCCTCGAGGAGTCGCTCTCTCATGCTCCGTCAAGTGAGTTGTCATCTTAGTTTTTTTTTACATTATTGCCTCATCATGCTTATTTGAGGCTTGCACGATTTTTTTTTTTCCATTCTATGAATCTGTATAAAAACTCTCAGAAACCCGTTTTTGTGCTTTGATCCTGCTCCCGTGCTTTGAGAAAAATGGCCAGTCCCGCTCTTTCATGTCGAGCAGCTTAAAGGACATTTTCTGGAGCTTTTTAAGTTTTTCCAATTATTGTTATCAGGCTCATCTAAAACTGGAGTGCATTTAAAATGGCTTCCTCATCAATATTCACGTGATAATCCACAATGATAAGTCAAAAGCAGGATGAAGTGTTTTAATTCATTATGTATAATAACTCAATATCTAATTTACATAATTGCTCTGAGCCCAACTGGACTGACTGAGCTCGGTTGTATTCTGTCCGCTACAGATCAGGACAGCTCTGTTTTAACTCCCATGAAACGATCCTGTAATCTTCTACATGTTTCCTCAGAGTTGGAGACCAAATCTAATGAAAGCTTCCAGACAGCTGTCGTGAATGGGTGTGAATTTACACCAGAAGAGAAACAACCACAGGCAGGTGCTGAGGGCCCAGCTCCAGCCCTTACCAGTAAGAGAAGAAGAAAGGTCCGCCAACCACACAACACACACCGCGTTTCATCATTGCTATGATTTCTATAATCATCAAGATTAATTACAATTACTTCTGCATGGCTCTAGTTGCAGACCAGTCCAGAAGAGGAACCGGCCACTGAGGCTCCACCCCGCTCCCAGCGAAAGAGAAAGGTCCGCCGTGAGATGGTCCTTTTTTTTAATAATGAGAGCTCACAGCATGCTCCTATCTAATCTCCTTTTTAATTCCCCTGCATCTGAACTTGATCACGCCCAGAGTTCTGCTTTAACGCGGGCTCAGGCCACCCCTCTGGCCCCCCAGCAGCCGGCGGAGAGCCAAGCCCCGAAGAGGTCGACGCGCTCTGCCGCCAAGTCGGCCTGCGGGAGGATCAAGGTGAGTTGGCTGAGTCTGCCAGTTGGGTTTCTCTGTACGGCACACCTCCACTCGTCTCTCTTGAGGAGATGGAGCTGATGTGTGCACAAGCCCACCGCTAATTCATGCGTCTGAGTAAAAGAGGGGATTTATTTACCTCGGGCAAAGGGCCCTTAAAGAAACATCTTCAGTGCGGTATCCCTGCACAGATCTGTCGTGCATGCTCTCCCTCTTGTAAAACCCTGTATTCATAAAGTCATCTGTGGGGGGAAAGCCCTCTGCTTTTCCACGTAGTGAATTAGCAAACCAAAGTTTTAGCCGCTGCTCGGCTGAACTTGTCTGAACGATCTCGTTGGCCCACTCTGGCAGATATTTCTGCCACTTCAGTGCGAGAGGAGCTGATCCAGGTGCTGTCAAATCTCCCCGAGGCACAAAGTGGCGCTGGGAGACGGGCTGCCGGTCCCATCTCGGCTGCTTACCGCCTCTCGTTGCGTGGCATATTTTTTGCAGAGGAGCTTAAGACTGGCGGCTTTGAGAGGGCTGCAGATACTCGGAGAGCTGTTACCCGACCACGCTCACTTCTGGAAATCCTTGAGTTTCCATTACTGTTTCTGATGTGCTCATGAGGGGAAAACTTTAGAACTTAGAGGCTTACTTAAGGTGCTTTTTCGTTTCGGAGACTTCTTAATGCATAGAAACTTTGAGCTTGCCCAGATTAAAACCATGTTACTCGGCTGGTGTTTCTGCCTGAGTGAGCAAACGGTTTGTTTTTTTTTTGTTCTGCTTTCAGCCACCAGCACTGCTATGTAGGTTTGCTTTGTGTTTGAGTTGTTGCTTTTAAAGTGAATGGTCCTTATGAATAACGGGAACGGGGTGAAACTGCCAGACAGAAGGTGACGCTGACTGCTCGCCGTTCCACAGGTGGCGTCCGCCGCCGTTCGACGCTGGAGCAAAGGCGTGGACCGCTCTCTGTACGGCTCGCGCTCCTACGCCTCCAAGAACCCGGCGCTGAGTCCCATCACGGAGCGGCGGCCACTCAGCTGGCCGGCGCCGGACGCCTGGGGTCAGACAAACTCACAGTAGCCGCCGTATCATGGCTCTATGTCACCTCTTGCTTTGTAACTCCAGTCATCATATCTATTAGTTTAGTTTTCTTTGCCAAGAAATGTGCTTTCCAGGCAGTGAAACAAACATTTAAGATTTTTTGTTTTGTTTTTGTCAACAGCCTCAGATGAAGAATCTGTTGAAGAAGCTGCAGGGACGGGTTCTGCCTCCCCTACCGGGCTGTTTGGGTCAGCAGGCAGAGCGGGAGGCCTGAGGAAGAGGCCCAGTGAGGAGCTCCAGGACCACACAGACGGAGATCAGACCTCCGTCCAGCTCCAGCTTTTAAGACAAGAAGAACCCGTCGATGAAGCAGAACTTTGCGTCCAGATTTCTGCCGACGCCCGTCACCCCCAGCCCGAACTCTGTGACGCTCTGCAGGCATCGCCCTCAGCCTGCCCCCCTCCAGGGGAGGGGTCGGCTAACCCTGAGCCGGCGCCCGGCAGAGCCAGACGCGGCAGGAGGAGCTCGGCTCCACGCGGGCCGCCAGAAGAACGCCAAAGCGTCCGGGCCGTGGATGAGGACGGACAGGGGGGCCCAGCAGATGACCAACAGGAGCAGCTCCTGTCAGCCCCCGCCAGCCTGGAGGAAGCGGGGGCCCCCGGCGTGGAGCTCGCCCCCTGGCAGACCGATTTTAACTTTGAAGACGTGTTCCGGGCGGTGTCCACCAGAGGGCAGCGCTCAGTGCGCCGCAGCCTGAGGAACCAGAGCTCGGAGCAGAGCGCCGCCGGGGCAGGACTGGCCTGGCTGCCGCACACCTCCCCCGAGGCCAGAAGGGAGGCCCGCAGGAGGGGCCGCAGCCGCCGCCGGCCGAGCGCCGCTCCGCCCGTCCAGCACGTCCAGCCCCCCCTCCCCGAGGACACGCAGGACCCCTCATTAAAGGAGCCCTCTCCGAAGGGCAGCGACTAATTATTTCTTGTTTTTCTGAGGTAACATGGATGGACATTTTCCCAAAACGGACTGCTTAATGCTCACCGGTGCTTTCGTTTGCGGTGAATTATCGGAGCGGACCGATAATTTCCACCTATTTTCCTTCTTGTAACCATGCCAGTCGATTCACTGAGAGCCCAATCATCTCCTGTGACCAGCCGCTGATCAATATCCCGGCACTCAGCTGGTAATCGCAGGGCGCCCTCAGCCCTCCACTCCAGAGTCAGTAGATCTCAGACCTCTGCGGGTCGATATCTGCTTCTGTGGATGGATAGGGCCGGCCGTCTGCTGGTATTCTCTGCCTGTCCTTTTTATTCTTCCCTGACCAGCGGGGGCTGATGTGGTTCCAGAGTAATGAAATGTGAAAATGCACCTTGCTCAGCTCCGCTATTGAGTAAAAGTTTTTGTTCTTTGAAAAGACAACACATTAGCCCAAAGCGTGTTCATTTACCCAAATGACTCAGTCTCATTTAGAGGGACTCAATCGGTCTTCTTCTGCGTGGTCACTCCAGCTCTGAGTCCACAGACCTCTGAGTGAATGAGTGTGTACGGACCCACTTTAACAAATCTGACCTCCGACCTCTCGATCCACCGGTCACTGATTTAAACCGGCCTCCGGCGGGACAGAGAGAGCTGAAACAAATTGAGTTTCAAATGCAGTTGGCATAAGAAGATTGGCTCTCTGACGGATGCTTGGAGTCTGTCCTCCGGTGGATTATTGACCACCTCCTGGCACGTTGCCCCCCCCGCCCACCCCCCCGTAAGACAGATGGACAGGCTCGTCGGAAAGGTGGCGCGGGGATGCACCGCCACCCGGTGGCAGCTTTGAGGCGCTGCGCCGCCCGTTTGTCCCCCTGACCAACAGCATTCACACAGAAAATGCTCAGTGGTTTTTCCTTTTCAGAATGCCCCCATTTGACCAACACACCCCCCCCACCCACACACACACACACACACACACACACACACACACACACACACCAAAAGTGTTTTTCTGAGTTGGTGCTTTTTATTGTTTTCAGTCTGTGTGTGTGTGTGTGTGTGTGTTGGGGAGGGGTAAAGACGCGGGAAAGTGTGTGAGTGTTTTGGAAGTGGTGTGAAGCCCCCCCTCCCCCCCCCGTCTTTGGCAGACGGGGCATAGTGAAGACGGCTTAACACAAGAACAATGGGGTCCTTTGACCAAAAACGACGCCCCCAAGACATGTGGCCTCCTGTCACCGTGGCAACCCCCCAAGGGACGGAGAGCAGGGTGACAGCTGGAAGGGAGGACTTACAAAGATGGAGTCTATTTCTTTCCACTGAGGCCGCCCCCCCCGTGCCCCCCCCGCCCGCCGGGGCTCCCGGCGGCGTGGCCGGCGTCCCTCTTTACGGCTTCCTGCGATTGACCCCGCCGTCCCGGCTCTCCGCCTCCGGCCCCGCCGCACAAAACCCCCGAAAAACAACAGCCATAAATCAGCTCTTTACGGGCCCCCGTCGCTGTCGGTAATGAGAAAGCTCCGAGCCCCCCCGACAAAAACGCAGGCGCCGAGCCCCGAGATTTCACACTGGCTGTGCGCTTGATTTTCCGCCTGGTTTTTTTAGAAGGAAAAGTACCTTCTGCAAACATACAAGGCAGAATGAGCCATTTGTGCCTCCAGATTTAGAGACTCCGGTCTTTCAATTAGTTAATTGGTGGCTGAATGGATCGGGCTTGTCCCGCTGCCTCGGCCCTCTCTCAGTTGGTTTTTGTGGGTGTCTACTATTGATGCTGAGGCAGGGTAAAGCAACAGGAGGAGGGTGGAAAAACAAAGGCAGAACAACAGGAGATTCTGGGTTTGGTTTGCTGTCACTGCTTCCAACCTGCTGCACGCAGCAGAGGAGCACATTTAACCCCCAAAAAAGGCCCTTTAGATTCGTTTTGCTTCACTCGGCAGCGGGTTTTCCGTCCAGAGAAGTCGTCTCTGGTCTCTAAAGCTTCGTCTCAACCTGCGTTCACTGCAGTGTGTCCACCTGGGTAACGGTAAAACACAAAAAAAAAAAAAAAAACATCACCGAAAACCTGTTTGCATATGACCCGGCCACTAGAAATGTGATTACAGACAAACACGGACAGAAAGGAGCTGTTTTAAAGCCGAGTCTGCCTCAGCTTTAAAGATTCAGCCTTGTCCTTCATCCAGATGCAGGTGAGTGGGGGGGGCATACCTTTAATATAAAAAAAAAAACAAGTTATTTGGCTTAAAATGGTTTCAAACTGGTACGAAGGTGTGTTTACACAGTTTGTCTGCAGAACCTCTGAAAAGCAGGAGGGAAACAATGCGGCTCCGCATACCTGCACACATACCCCTGATGTCTGGACTTGTCTGGAGTCCCTTTGCTCCTGACAGGAGCAGGGTGGGGGGGCAGGTGGGGGGGGCGGGCTATCACAAAGGTTCAGCAGTGACTGGTCTGGACATGGAGGGATGTGGTTACTCCACATCAGAGTTTTGACCCGGTTACGTGAGGCTTTGCTGGCTGCTGATGGAAGAGATCCACTTTTGTGTCATGACCTGATGGTGCCACGAAAACGAAAGGAACGAGGATAAAGCGCCACCCGTCATAGGTTTACAGGAAGGTCTACACCTATAATTTCGTAAAACCCGAAACATGCTTTTAAATCGTCTCAACAGAGTCATCACCTGTCCGACAGCTCAAAAGAAAAGATACAAGGAAGCCACACATCTCAGACCTCAAGGTTCAAAGGTCAAAGTATGTTTAGTTCAGGTCAACTGGTCCATCAAAGCTGCCTGTTTTTCCAGCTTGTCATAGAAACGGTGACGTTAACATGTATTAATATGACCACGTTTCCAATAAAGCTTCTCGTATTCACATTATATTTTACCAGAAACTGTGTGAAAATCTGCCTGTTAGAACTCCAAACTAGTGAATCAGGTGGATTTAACACTTCACAAAGTCTGTGTTTTTCTTTTGTTTTTTTTCTGTTTTTCTTTCTTTTCAGTAATAATTGTTCAACAACAACAACAACAAACCAGCACACATTTTTGCCTGGGAGGGAACCAACTCTTATAACAGCGTAGTCACCCTGGAGTCGCTGATCCCATCAACATTTCAGGTCAAGATATGGACTGTAAAGACACAACTTTACTGTCTATAAGTCAGTCACAAGCTCTGTGGAGAAACATCTGAATGTCAGAGTTTCTTCCCACATTTTCACAGTTTTCTTCACTTTGCCGCCATAATCGGGGAGAGAGAGGTCGGTGGTTTTCTCCCCAGATGTATTTATAAAAATCAGGAGAATGGAGGCGTCTGTGGAGGTTTTAGTGGATTTCTAAGCCAGAAGTTTTGAATGGTCAGATGTACACAAACCGCCTGTCCGGCTGCAATCATGAAGAGTAATGGAGGGAAATCGGGATGTTTTGAATTTCCAGCGGCCTCAAAAACGCGTCGGGATTTTCCCAACAAAAAAGCCAAGTCATGTTAGCCCGTCTGTGTGCTCGTCCACTCTCTGGAGCCCTCTCACCGGGGGTGACCCGATGAGGATCTGCGCTGGCAGGCTGCCTCGGGAGTGAGAAATGAGCCGGTCTGACATGTGTCGGCCGTGATGAATGAGCAGGTGTTCGGGTCGGTGTTAAGTAAATGGAGTCATTATTGATGACCCCTGAGCTCCCTGAGTGTTGCCAGTATCGGCGAGGAGTTCCAGGCCCCCCTGCCGCAGTAAAAAGAGTTTGTTGTGTTGTGTTTGTGGGTCAGGGAAGGACCCGCGGCCTCGGGAGGGGAGGGGAGGGGGGGGGGGGGGGGGCTGCCAGGGCGGGGGTTAAGTTGTCTCACTTGGACTGATGACCCCCAGAGTGGAAGGTTCACTGGCCCTGAAGCTCTGCTGACTGGCTGCGACTCCATCCATGATCATTTTGTGCCCTTAAAAAGAAGCAAAAATGTGATTAAAAGAAGTTTGTTTACTGAGCAGCATTACAAGACAATAACTATGAATTCAGCTGAAATCTTGTCCAATTAGCAATAGTTAAAAATAAAGAGTTTAATCTCTCATGTCTTTGGAGTTTTCATGGTTTATGTGTGCAATAATTCAGCTCTTAATGACGCCTTTTTCCTGAAAAATAAAACTTGGTCTCTGAAATCCTTTAACAGCTGTCGCTCTGCTCTAATAAAGTTTAGATCTTAGAACCACAAAATCCCATGAGATTGATTTAACTTTTAACAGTTTGTCTCACTGTATTATTCGTTCATTTGTCTGTTTTCTGTACTTGTTTTTATATAAAATCAATCTCCACATTTAATAGCAATCCAACTTTTCCCAAAAATAAACTATTTTTCTACCCTATTTAAGTAAATGATCATTCAAGTGGATAAGTGACAATAGTCAGTCATACTTGTATATTAACATAAAAAAAAAAGAAAACCACATTGGTCCAAACAAGCTAACTTACCTTTGAAAAAAGAATAAAGCTTTGCTGAGTTCTTATCATTGTTTCCATTCATATTTTTAAGAAAATCTGTCAATTAAAGGTTAATTACTAATATTTAATGAAACAACTTCCATTTCAACATTGTACACACTGCCAAATGCTAAGTTGTGACTCATGTTTGTGTTCCTCTCACAACCACAAATGTGAGATTTAAAAAGGAAACTGATTCATTATCATTTGTATGGAGTTTAATTGCATATACAATATTCATTTGGAAAATATACTTTACACCTTCTCTTCAAACTCTCAGAGTGGGAAGTCAGTGTGACCCTCCTGAGGGGGGGATGGTCCGGGCTGAAGGGAAGGAGGCGGTAGATCTATGACGGGTGAAATATGAACCAAATGTGGCAGACTTGGGAACTCGAAACGTCTCTAATTCATCTTGGTTTCACAAATCCATGCAGAAGAAGTCGTCGGATCTAAACTGTGTTGTTCTGCGTGCCTCCTCGGGCCGTTTTTTTTTTTTTTTTTTTTTTTAAAAAAAAATTTTTATTTTTTTTTTTTTTTTTTTTTTTAAGAACG